AAACAGGAAGGATCTGATATTCAGAAAGGCTGAGCACTCAGAATTTCAGCTAAAATCGATGGCATGCATTCAGCAGTTTGGAAACCCAGCTCCTAAATCAATCTCAATTAGTTTGGAAGTGAAGCTGGTTGAACTGAGGAGACTGGAAAACTCAGGCGATTCTTAACTGGACATATGGAAACTTTTTACTGCAGTTATTGGTGAAGGCCACCTCACTATCACCTCTGGCTGGCTGAAAAATAGTTCAAAGTGGTGTGTGTCTATTCCTCCCACTATTCCCCAACCCCTCGAATTTTTAGGTGTTTTTAATTTAAAATCTAATTTTCTGCTGAAATAAAAAGGAGGAATATAATCTGACAATTTGTAATAGCAATTCCAAAGTATAAGCCTTCCTGCCCTTCCTGAATTAAACTGTTTCTTAAAGATGCCTTTAACTGAATCGTGTTGCTCATTTCAGTCTTAAAGCTCCCTCATCCCTCATTAATTTTATTGTTGTGTTACACACATTGCTAAAATGATCTGTGGGCAGCAAGGAACTGTGAGGTAGTGTGGAAAGATTAGTTTATATTTATCACGCAAATCCCATGGTGTTTTCCATTTCTTGCTTGGATGACGTATGATATCCCTCTCAAGTCTCTGACGCCTGTGGGACCTTGGCAGGCTGAGGGGTACGTGGTAGCTGGTGATAGATTCATCACCTACCTTAACCTGATGTTTTGAAAAAAATAAGAGCAGTGGAAAAGATTTCTACTTTCCTGTGGCATGAGGTGTGTATCGGTGTTTCTTTAGCTTGTGCGGGGTTGTGAAGACTGATTTTTAGGACTGAGGAATCTGTCTGCTAGCTAGCAGTTTAACAGTTAATTTTTGTTTGATTGTTTTGGATAGTTTTTTTTAACAATACCTCAAGCTGCATTTTGAAGTTGAAATTAGAAAGATTTATCTTCACTAGAAAAGGTTTATCAGCATGTCCCCTATGTAAAGGGACAGCTGTACTGGCAAATTCCTCCTGGTTTAAATGCAGCTTATGGTAGCAGAAATGTATTTTTACCGGTATAGTTTTGGCTAAAATAAGTTGTATGAGCAGAATCATGCTTACACTGATACAACTATATCCGGGCTTTTACTGATGTGGAAATGTTTAAGAAAATAAATCCCCAAACTTCAGTCCCAATAGTAGTGCTGGTCAGGCTTGGGATTTCAGGGCAGACTGCCCTCTCTTTCCAAATGGCGATATTTTATTCCTAACTGTTATATAATGGCAGTGAAAGATTTTTTTCCAGCCAGCTTGTGTAGTTTTACAGCTTCTGGGAGGTGGGGAAGTTCAAAAGAGGAAAAATTACAGAAGTCTGTGGTTTTGAACCTATTAGTATGAAAAACACTCATTTTTGGTTTCGAATGATGTCTGGCAGACTCTTAGTCTGTAATGTGGGTTTGGTGCCTTAGAGGTGGACTACTGCTCTCCCTCCTTTTGTTTTGGGCCATGAAGCAAGTCTGATGGAAGCAGCCCCTGCACATGGTTATGACAGTCACTTTTTCCTTTAATATCCCTGATGATCTGAGACTTGCTTCAAAATCATGAAGACCCTAGATCTGACTTTCCTGTGTCAGACGTAGTGAGGTGACAGAGAAAAGACTAAGAAAATGCTGATGTTTCCTGGAGAAATAAGTTGCCTGGGACATGAATTGCACAGAAAATATTGCTCTGGTCTCATTTTTAAGCCCTTTCTCTCCCCATTTGTGGGGTTTTTTTTGCTAGCAATTTCAGTGAGAAATATCAGATCAGATCTTAATTCTTGGGAATTTCTGAATCGGTGAAACCTACACTGGAAATGATGCTAAAGATGGTAAGAGTTCTTACAACCACGCTTACTGTGGTAAGAAAAGGGGAAGGAAGCTTTCTTAAATGTAGGCAGGGATGTTTCTCACCAAAGGAGTTCCCCTACTCCTTGGCCAGCATTAGAGTCTCTTAGATAAGTCTTTGGTCATCTGGGGCTCAACTGCACATGTGCTTCTGCTCCCTGCTCATGGGAAATAGAGTATCCAAGTTTGTTCAAATACTCATTGCTCTTGTTCTATTAACTTTCGTTACTACGGTACTTTCAGGCCTCACACATGAACAGGAACCCAGGTGTGCCAGGTTTGCTATGGAAGCAGAAGAAAAAGATAATTCTTACCTGAAGAGCTTGTGATTGGGAATATCTCTATAAAATATGTAGCAGGGCTCTTGAGATTTTGAACTAGGAGGATGTGGAGGGAGGTTATAAGCAGATGGACATCTGTTGCCCACACACTGTCTTCTGCCCACAGAGTTGGCTGTTGAATAGTCTGATACCTGGGATCGAAACATCCACAATGCTTTTAGGATGTTTTAAAATGCCTGCTGGTAGTCTGGACCATAGGATGCTTGGCCCTGGCCTGGCTGCTATGTTAGGATGCTCTCAAGGAGAGCCTGGTATGGGATGGAGCCAGGTGCAAGAAATGACTGATTAGAATGAGACGCTTCAAAATGGAAAATAGATAACTAAGATGATATATGATTCAAGCCTCCAAAATCATGATTGGCCCAGACAGAATGTATAGGGTTTCACCATCTTTCCCAAGAGAAGAACTAGAGAGGGTGGTTCTTCATAGCAGGAGTAGAAAACTGGTGGAACTCTATAATGAAGGATGTGTGCGTGTAAAAATTATACATTGACTCAAGTCAAGGCTGAACTAGAACTTGGAAAAGAAACCTATCAAAAGTCATGTGAACAACGTCAGGCTGTTTGCGGTGCAGCTCCATTCACAGCGCATGCAGTACGGGGGGTGTACAGAACAGACTTAGTTCGTGAAGTGCAGAACTGAGAGGGTAAGTCTCAGTATCTTGAAAAAACAAATACCACTCTCTTCTCCCCTTCTCTCTCTGCTTTTCCTCCACTTTCTCTCTTGGAGAAACTTACCAATTAAGTAAGGCACAATATGCTGCTCCAGGGAACTAACAGCAGAATTTCAGTTTTCCTGTGTTGAATCCATAGCTGTGGTGTGAAAGTGCTATGGGCCTCCTTTTCTAGGCTGTTTCTCTTAGCTGAGGCCATGGAGGCCGGATTGATTTCTGTTGAGTTACATTAGCGAAAAACTAGCATGAGGCAGCAGTGAATCACAGCCAGAAGATCGAATGGAATTTTGTAATCAGGTCCTGTCCTTGGTTCATTTCCAACTCTGCCACTGGCCTGCTAGAAGAAGTTGGGTGAGACGCTGCACTTCTCTGTGCCTCATGTCCTCTGTGTTTGATGAGGAGATAATGATCTCAAAACACTTTACCAGGGAGTCCAGCTGATGAACTCCTACTGTGTAGGAGTGATAATGTTAGCTACTGCTCTAGTCAGAAGCCTGAATTCTCCCTTTTCTGAGCATGTACCCAAGCAGTTGGATCCCCAAAGTAAATGCGTTGCCATAGGGCATTGCTGTCTTATATTGTCCCAAATGCCCCCTCCTTACTGCCATCTAATATTCTAGCCCTGCTGAAGGCAAAAAAGCCAGGAACTAGTTGGCTATTGGCACCTGTGAATGAAGCCAAGTGTCTGCCTAAAATTTGAAGGTTTGATTTTTCTTTTGCAGACTGGTCTTACTCTGTTATTCTGCTGACTTTCAGAACTAGTCCTGGAGAAAGTATAAAATAGGAAAAAAGTGCTTAAGATCCTTAACTGCTAAGAAGTCAAATCCTTGATTCTTAGGCGCTACTTTCTGACAGCTATGCTGTAAAGGGTATTAATTTTTAGCAGAGTCAGCCAGAAGCTGAAAGGATGAGTCAGGACACCACTCTCTAGCTTCCCTACTTCTTATACCGTGTCCTCTAGCTGCTGGCTGCAGTCAGAAACAAGATACTGGGCTGGATGGACCTCGGATCTGAACCCCCTGTCAATGTTATCAGAAGAAACATTGGAAGTGTTACTGGGGTGTGGAGTGCAGACACCCGAACTGGCTGTTTTGGGTCCCCACCTGTTATGGCTTCACAGGAGCACAGTGATGCCAGGCAGGGAGGGGAATTCACAAAGTGGCTGCTTGTGCTGTCCTTGTTTTGTGGATAACTAGTTTTCTGTGCTTTCTGGGGCATGCTACTGTACTTCTGGGCAATATTACTAGAATTAAAAAAATCAATATCCTGCACACAAACTCTGTCTGATTCTTATTAATGAGCTTGATAACTGCATGAGAAGAAAAAACTGTTTGTTTCAGGTTGAATTGTTTTTTTAAAAAAAAAGAACTTAATCATTCTCTTGTGGATTTAATGATCTAGTTTTGTAGTTCTTAGTAGACAACTAAGGGTGTTGTTACCCAGTTCTAATGATAGGAGTAGATATATATCCCTGCTAGAGCAAAACAAATTCACTCCCAGGGTAAATGCTCTGAGTTAATGGACCCGAGACAGAACTGCCAACCACTTTGTTCGGCTTGGCTTTGTTCAGGCTTGACAAGTTGTGCTATTGGCTGAGCACCTCCTGGGCCAGTCTCAGGATTTTGGTCTTCGCATTTTGGCAAGAAATTAAATCACCTGCCAACTGCCCAGGATGTAACTCTGGGATTTCAAGCAGCGCTTAGATGTCCTTTGGGGAGTTTTGTCAATGAGGACAGACCACTCAGTTCCCCCTCCCCTGTTGCAGCTGCCTTTGGGCAGTCAAGATTTTTTGGCAGCGCCGAGTGGCCACATCAGGCTGGGTGCAGATGCAGTTAGAAAGGAGCCTGGGTGGGCAAGACAACAGAGAGAGTTTTTCTCAGGCCATTTGTACCACAAGACCTCTTTAGCAGTGCAACCCAGAATATATAAAAGCATTCAGCACTGACCTAATGTTGACCCTACAGAGGCAGTGGGAATTTTACCACTGATTTCAATGGCCTTAGAGCTGTGCCAGCCTTGCCCACATGCAAAAGTCCAACCCACGAGGTCTGAACAGGACAGAAAACCACAGTGCAACAGTATCTGTAAGGATATAACAAAAGGAAGTATAGATGGATTTGGGTGCATTTATGCATTTATACATGGTAGCCAAGGTACAGTGATCAAAAAAGCAGTGTTATTTCTTTCCCTTTTTTACTACATACAGATACTTTAAGTGCTGTCTTTTTTATTAAAAAATTATGTTCTTGATTCAGGGATAATAGTTCCAAAAGCAGAATGTAACTAAAATTAAATAGACTGGGTACATCAAAATCAATGCATTTAATAAAATAAAACATCTTTTTTCTTCCCTAAAAGTTGTGTTAAAAATATGTAAGTATACATTTGTCCAAAAAGGAGATAAAGCTCTTTGATCTGGTGGTGCATAATCATTTGTCAAAACAATTGAGCCAATTAGACAAATGTGTTTGGAGGGTTTGAATGAATAGGCCAGGCAAGCTTTTTTTCCTTTGCTTCTCTGTCAAATGAATCATAGATTGAGTCTTTGGTTACAGTTTTGGCTGGCGCTGGGATTTCTGAGATCCCAACATAATTTTTTTTGGCTATCCTTGAGCTGGTGGTGATGGTGTATGCATTACTTCTGTAGCATTTCATGGAGGACATGCAAAAAGTTTCTTTCATCCCTCTTCTAAAGTTTGCATTATACACTGAGTATAGGGTTGGCTTAGAGGCTGAAGAGCTAAAAGAGATCCACGTAACAGCCATGAAAACCAAAGAACTCTTTCTGTAGTCTGTTTCCTGTGGATGCCACAACTGTACCACATAAAAAGGGAGCCAGGACAGAAGAAACAGTAAATTTAACATTAGGAACATCTTGATGGTTTTCACTTTTGTCCTTGGAACAATATTCATTGTCCTCCTGACGGTCCTGCCATCAGTGCCTATTCTCCAAATGTACTTGATGACTTTCTGGTAGAATAGGATAATGAGAATGGATGGAGTCAAAAACACCACAAGGATGTGGATGATACTGTAGATGGCTCCCTCCCAAGAATTTGGGCGGAAAAAGTTGCAATGGTCATCCCAGTTGGAGCCATAGAAAAAGAAAGCTGGTGATGCAAATGCAGCATCAAAGATCCAAGATGCTACAATCATTTTCTTAGCTTTCTCTCTCGACACTTTGAAACTCAGGGGGTAGACAATAGTGTAGAATCGATCCACACATATGGAGAGGAGCACATATATCTGGACTCCAGGGGTGAGATATTGTATGTACCTCACCAGCTTGCACATTACACTCCCCAGCGTCCACTTGCCGGACGTAAACTGGAGCAGCACGAATGGTGCACTTGCCACACTGATGAGAAGGTCTGCACAAGCCATGGATACAACAAAGTAGTTAGTGGTTGATTGTGTCCTCCTGCTCCTGTGGATCACTAAGCAAACAAGGGAGTTTCCAAAGATGGAAAACAGCCACAATACTCCAAAAACCAGGCTGGCTGCTATGATTTCCCCTGGCCTCAGATCGTACTGCAAGACAGTATGGTTCCTGTTTGACCTGACCTCCTTGCTTGACTCTGTCATCTCATGGCTAGCAGGAGGGATCGAGGTTTCAGGGTAGCTGATGTTCTGCAGCAGGAGCAATGATGTAGGGAGAACAAAAGGAGCGTTGTTGTTATCCATACCATGGGCAAACATCACAGCCATGTTTTCTGCTCAGGCTCTGCATAAAGAGAGAAGCCAAAAGGTTATAGCTGATAAGCGCGTGTGAAAACCTACCTTGATCAATGAAAGATAATCTTAAGTAAAATACATTGATTTCAGAGAAATGGTCAGAAATATACTATGAGATTGTGTCTGGTATGGCAGAGGCCATTAAATTTCACACAGATTTTTATTAATATTCCAAATGGTTTAGGACAAACATTTCTCTCTGCTGAAAGAGAAATGTCTCCCTTACAGAGAGAGACTGAGATGCCACCAGTGCTTGTGAACTGCAGACTAAGTGAGTAGAGCATGCCCTGTTGACCCCAGGAAGGAACTATACTTCATAGGGTGAGTGGAAGTTATGAAAAAAAAAGACAAACACTGTCTCTGTTCCCTCGATGTTTCTTATACTTAGAGGTAGAATGGGGAGTAGTATGTTTCATGATAATAACATCTTCAGCAGTTCAGGGTACTAAAGGCCAAATCCTGCTCCCGTCAACCCATATAGTAACATTGGTATTAATATCCCTAAGTTTAGCATAAACTACATACAAAGGTGCTGTGAAGCTATGATTGCATAAGAGGCAAAGGTTGATAAGCACAAAAAATGCTAAGTATTTGCCAGCTCATCTTCTGTTCACAAGCCATCCAAAGATGACTTGTCCTTTTTTCTTAGCAGAGGCACTGTTGGGCCTGCTCAATCTGAATGGGCTGTTTTGTTTTCTTTTTCTTAAATTGCATAATCTGAATCCTTTTGCTTCTGAATTATTTTTGGAAGCAAGGGAGATCTGGGTTTGAAGGCAAAGGGAAGATCAGCGTAGTGGAATGGCTTGTAGCAAACTGGATAGGAACCCCTCATTGTGAGTCTTTTCTCAGCCCTTCCACAGTGAGAAGACCTTCCTGCTTTCTGAGGTAGTTCAAGGAAGAAAGATTCCTTGAACTCACAAGAAGTGCCATGGAGGACTGTGAGTGCTGGGAGCAGCAGAAGTCAGGAGGTGCATCGGTGACGTGGTTCTCTGGGGTGAGTACTGGCCTGGGGAAGGTCTGGATGGTAGAAAAGGGGAGGAGCACCTGAGGTGGTATGTGGCTGCTTACGCTGGAGGTGAGTGGCCAGGGCTGAGGGGAATAGTCTGAAAATGGCTGGGCTGCATTTTGAGTGAGTGAAACTGGGGACCTGGGCTGTTAAGTGAGAGAATGGTTAGAGGAGAGACAGCTTCCCGCTAAGGCCCAGCACTGATGTCCCTGTTGTGTGGGAGTGACTTAATGCTTACTGCCAGCAGCAGAATTGGAAGCTAAGGTGTTGTTTCAGCTGTGCCGAGGAGCACAGCATACCATCTTCAACAACAGCTGGACAACTTAAAGAGTCTGTTCTGAAGAGTAATGCTAGCCACATGTTCTGGCCTTGCTAGTTACCTCTTCCTTCTGTCAGCCTGAGAACTAGATGGTATGACAACCCTCCCCCTCAACCCCAAATAATATTTTTTTAAATTAACTACAAAGCCTTGATATAGAAGGAAAACTCGAGGAGAATGAAAATATTCTCATGTAGCTGAGATGTGGGGGGAGCCTTTTGATTTTTGCTTCAAGTTCCAGTGGTGCAGACTGACAGTAGTGGTTGCACTGTCATTAGATATGAATGCAGTCTGCAGTTGAGGGCTCTCTGTGCTCTGGAGAAAGCTAAGGGAGAGAGTTGATGTCCTTGCCTTTGTCAGGGACCTCCCAAGCAGTGAGCACGAATCTTTACAGCTTGAACTATTAAGCTAAGCTGCCACGCTGATATCTGTAGCACTGGTTATGTGTGCTGGAGAGGGAAGTTTGCAGACCCTGGAATATGCAATTTAAAAAAAAAAAACATTGCTGACATTCCTTTAGTGGTGCCCAGAATAGTATTTGATTCTCTGTTATCTGCTGTAATTCCACCTCAGGAAGAAAGAGTAGGAGAGCATAAATCTGTCACCCTTAAAATTCGGCAGGCCTGTGACCAACCAGGTAACTGAACTTGTGCCATGAACCGCTGAAAGTAGCATATAAACATTTAAGCTGTACCTGTCTTAGGCAGTCCTCGAGTGTTTCACAGGGAAGCCTTTGCTGGGCTCTGGTGGACTGAATCATGTTGTCAGGTTTTCACACGTGCCAAATCCTGCTCTGAGCTGAGAACTCTGGAGCCAAAACAACTTGCTGGTTTGCAGCCATCAAAATGTTCCCCAATGGTTTTATTCACCATTCTTTTTAAATGTGAGTGCCTCGGCTTACAGCGCCTCCTTTCTTTTCTTCCTTTCAAGTAGATCACCTTGTTTTCTTGATGGACCCTTGCAGCCCTCCTCATTTTCTTCCCCTTTTCAGAAACCGTTTTGACTGAGTGCTAATATCACAGCCTTCATGGCTCTGAGACACATTAGTGAACTGCCTCACCAAATCCTTGAGCTCAAGGCAAAAAAAAGAAGTCAGAACTAGATTTATAGGGGATTGTGGTTCTGCAAGCTGTTGAGCACCCCACTGTTAAATTTATACTACTGGACCTTGGGTCCCCTCAATGTTTACCAGTCTAAAGCAGCATGGAGTACTAATTCAGTGTGGACTCTCAATGCTAACTACAAAATCACCCATAATGCTAATTAAATCAATAATCCTTTTTCCTTTTAGATAAGGAAACCTGCATAGATGCTACGGCTTCTGGTATCAAACTGTAGCTGTTAATTTGTGATAGTACACGGCACAGAGTGTGATAGATACAACCCCCTGTTTTAAAGGGGAGATTTAAGTATATTTTCTCCAATGGAGACAAGAATGGAAACATTACTAGATAAGTTTCCAGTTTTGGATTAGCTGGTGGCTGGGTTAGCGCTAGCCTGTCACAGGCATAGCATAGAAAAAGTACTTAATATGCATTAATATGGCTATGCATATACAGACACCTTGCCCCAGGACGGAGCTCCAGAAAGTGTCCTTTCAATTGTAGTGTTGACATATAAAGCCTCTTACTCATTAGAAATGAGAAAACTATTCCTCCAGGTATGTTATGTGAGTGCTTAACTCCAGAGTCTTGATACTGTGCAGCGTTAATCGGGATGACATTCCTGAGCAGAAGATCAAAAAGCCCAACCCAAAAGCCAAATAGATAAGTCCAAAAAGGCACAACCATCTTCCCCAGCCTGCTAAGTGACCCAAATTTCCTGCCTTGTTTTATGAGGTTTTTCAGAATTTTGCTCTGCCTATTTACTTTTATCATCAATTATTTTCTCCTTGTTTGCCTACCCAGAGTGGAACATGAAAGTACAAAGGCGCTGGACAAATTTGAGAGCTTCCTCTTTGCATTGCACTGTATGTCATGTTCAAGAATGCAATATTAAAAATAATCAGATGTGGAAAAGGAGAAGATGCACTAATTGTCTGACATGGTTACAGAAAACACTTTTCCACCTTTTAAAACCTATATTCATTAGCCAAGTTAATATAACACTGTATGTGTCAAATACATGGGCTTAATATACAGTCAGCAACATGGCACAGGCATAAATTTAGCATGCTTAAAAATGTGAAGGGTGATGAGAGCAGTGTGGTGCATCTGCATAGCTAAAGCCAATCTACGTGGGCAGAGGCAGCCTGCAGCAGGACCTGGTTGTGCCTCTCCTCCAAAGCTAGGCCTCCGCAGCGTGCCTGGCACTGCGAGCAGCTGCTGGGAGGAGAAAGTGGACCAAAATATGAGTCACCGACACTACTCCCAGACACTTGGCTTTGTTTAGCAGCTCTCATGTTCAAGCAATATCAGGAATGGCAACATTTCAGGTGTAGCTGAAAGCTTAGGTGAAGCAGTCTGAGGCTAATACCAACTGGTTTTGGTGGGGCGGGTCATGTTGAAGAGGGAACATTGCATGGAGCTTTCCTGTCAGAGTAACATCAGGGAGCACCAGCAGTGACAGCCAGAAGTGCGTGTTGTGCTGGTTGGGTTGCCAGTCAACTGCAAAGGGTAGGCACTTTTGAATCTGCAATGGGACATGGCTGCTTGTCCCTTCCTGTGGTGTAGAGCTATGTGGGGCGGCCCTCATTTTCCTCTCATTCTGAGCTGGTTTCCCTTGTCATTTGCTTAGCAGCATTGCTTGGCAGATAATTTCTGCTTTCTGAAACAGCTTCTGCCTCCCTCTTCCCACCTTCCATCATGGCAGAAGCTGCTCAGATGGGTTTGCTCCCCCAGAGATACCCTGCTTTCATCAGCTCTGTATGTGGGGGATTTGGGCTGCTTTCTTTGGCGGAATGGCAGGATGCACTTACAGTGTAGCCCACTAAATTGTGTGTTAGAATTGTCTGTAATAGGATAATACACGTGGATCCTATTAACTGGACAGAAAAGAACATTATGGGCTAATTTTCTTCCTTAATTTCCCTTCTTGCCAGGCAGAAACACGTGCTATTTAAAAATAGCCAGCTGCTTGCTGCACAAATTAAGCTCAGTAGAGTAACCAGATGAAATTTCTTGACCAGTATTGAGGAGTAGTGGAAGTCAGGCACAATAATGAAATGACTTCCTTAAGCCTTTACAATATGCAAGCTTCTTAACACTATTCTCCAACTGTTTCTCCTGGTGAGCCAAATCTGTTATCCACTTCTGCTCGGATATGAGACATTTGGTAATGCATTCACAATGCAGGTGGTAAACCAAAAATATGCTAGGTTATAGCACTCACATAGTACTTCTTTCTCTTGCTTTTTAACCTAAGTGACTATAGAGAAAGGAGAGCGACAAGAAATGTACCCAGCTATCTAGTACTTGAACTTAGTTAGCAAAAGGAAAGAAATCTCAATGGGAGGAGCCTTGTTGCATGCAACCCTTCACCAGGGACCATTTCGTTGCGTTGAGAGCTAAAATATTTTGTTACATGTCTCCCAGTGGCAGCAGTTTCCTGTCCAAACAGAAGAGGCACCTAACAGACATGCAACTAACATTATGTTCTGGGATTCTTTCTTCCCAGAAAAATCCATGGTCATGCAACACAATGGTCCACAAAGTCCAAATTAAAATACCACTGCAAAAATATAGACTTCAGCTGCCCTGAGCACAGGGATCATTCTGGTTGAGCAGCGACTACTTGTTAGCTGAAATGAATGCTTTTCTTTTTAAAGTAAATATTATCTGATTAACCAGTGTGCTCTAAGATTCCTGCATTCCTAGTTACACATCATTTTTCCTCCTACTGGACCGGAAACTGATCTCCTTTTATACTAGGCAAGCTCTATTCAACTCAGTGGGCTTAATCGTATTTTTCATAGGTGGCACTGACACCAGAATCATGCCTGGATTTGGCACTGAGAGAAGGACCTTGGTCTCGTCTACGGCCCAGTTCATCTTTTTATCCATGGGCAAAGATGTTTACTGTAGTGGAAACTTTGCATTATGAGAAATAGTCCTAATGTCAAAATGAGTATGAAAAGCCCAGTAGGTGTACCACTCTGTGTGGGACGAGGATGCTAGTGATGAAAGACTCTGTATCTTTCTACATTATGAATCTTCAATTCCCATGTCCGCAGCATCCCCAGCATTTGCTGCATTTCTTACTGAAATGTGATTGATGTGTTGATGAGCAGCTTGCAAGCGTGAGATCCTTGGAAAAAAGATGATGAGGTCTTTAGCCTCCCTCTGCCTTGTAGGCCAAGTTAATAAGCAGGTAGCGGACACATAGAAGGTAAAAATTATACAGAGCAAATATATGTGGCCTAATTTTAATTTTTATTTAACAAAGATGTTTTTGTTTGATTTTCCTCTTAAGAAAACACTGATCTGAGTGAATGGACACTTTCTAGCAATTGTGATTCTGCACTAATGCAGCAGTGCCAAAATTTGTCATTTTATTTTGATTATTTTAGAGCGACAGTCCTCTTAAAACTGGTAAGAGGGCTTCCTATGTTCCTGTTTAAAAGCCTAGATTTTGTACATTTTCATGGAAAATAAAAGAGAATGCTAAATGACTCATAATCATCAAAGAGAGATTTCCTGGTGCCACAGTTCCTATTTTATGGACCTTAATATGCAGTTTGAAGGCCCAAACACTCAATTTTCAGGGTTATTCCTTTGAGTTTATAGTAAAGGAATTATATTCTTGCTAACCCTCCCGATACTTACAGGAGAAGTATTTGAGTCACAAGATCTTCATAAAATAACTGCCACGTCTACTTCACTGTTGTATAAAGTCCATATGGTGTAGTTACTATGTATTTATATGTCTACTGTCTTGTCTAGAAGTGCAGCTTCCTGGATTCTACTGCAATTGTGAATGGTGAAACCTGATAAGATTCATGAAGGAGTGCAATATGGCTTTTTTAGAGTTTAATCAAAAGAATAAACATTTTTTCCTGTCCACTATTTTTTAGGGTTAAAAAGATAGATAAAGAAAAAGATCATTGTACACTTCTTACCTAGCACTATCAGAGTGTTTTTTTTATTGAATATGTTATTTTATCTCTCTGCATCATAAATGCAAAATGTAATTGCAAGGTTTGGCCCAGGAAGTTATTTTAAAGACCTTGAGTTGGTCACTTACTCTGTAAACCTCTAATTGGAGTAAATGCAATCAGAATGGGGTGTTTTTGTCCATGAGTAAGATGCTAGAAGGTGACATTTGTCCCCGCCTTAATTCAAATTAACTACCTTATGCATGTACAGGCTCAATGTAATAATCACTGTATACAAGAGCACAGAGTCTTTTAATCTAGAAAGGTTTCTTATTATACAGAGACAACTGCATGCATGCTGAGGCCATTCAGTATTCCTGCTTCTAATGTAGGAATGCAGATACACATACTTTGGTAAGCACACAGATTCCCTGCCAGTTGTTTTCTCTGGTCTAGTACTCCTAAAAATGCTCCACCTTTAGCCCTGTTCCTGTTATGAAGGCTTTCCTAGCCTACTTGCAGCTCTTCTAAGCACAGCTTGAAAATCTCTTGAGGTGGAGTGTGTTCTTCTTTATGCTCTACATACCAGTGCATGAGGACAGAAAACACCTATCCCGCTTTAATTGGTAGAATAAAATGAAATAAAACCTTTGAGATTCATATCCTTATTTCATATGCTGTCACCTTCATCCGTGACTACCCAGCTGGTGGGGTTTCTTGTTGCTCTGCAGCACAGTTAGCTAAAGATGCCCATGACGGGGAGTGTGCCCAGGCTGCTTCATGTATGAAGTTTTCTGTGCTGGATTTGGTGACAGCCCAGCAAATGGGAAAAGCTTCTGAGCTGAACTGATGGTGTAAGATGATATACATTATTGTGTCTTACATCAGCATCTGAAACGCTAAGCTAGATTGCAGGGTGAGGTCATGGGAGCAGGAAATAGGGATAAGATTGAATAAAGGAAGGAAATATTCTTAATTTCCAGCATATATAAAGAATATGTGTTGTACAAGGCTACTACATGAGCATGAATATGAGTAAGATTTTTCTGCTATGTGCTTTGGTAAAGTAAGGTGAACTAGACAGTCGCTTTGCCATCAGTCTTGACTCTTCTTGTCGTTTCCTGACTATTTTAACAAGATATAAAAGCCGATAACAAAGATACAATATTGTATCTTGTACACTTGTTGAGACTGGAGCCAATTTGTATTTGTTGTATTGGTTGTTTGAGGAAAAATCCTTTTTCAGTTTATATCTCTTTAACTTGGCTTAGTAATTTGTGAGCCAAGCAGCAAATGAATAGGCCAAGAATAGGGTTCATATATTGCTTTTGGTTCTATCGCTTTTTCTCTGGAGTAACTACACCGATTGCAGAACTGTAGCACTGGGCCTAAGTCCTGGCCTGGAACAAATTCATGGGGCATGATTTTTGATTAACATTGAGAGTTCAAAATACGGATGAATCACAAGGTACTGAATATTGTCTGAGTCTCCTTAAGAGACCGTGCTATCATTTTCAGCTCTTTGTGATGTTAAAAGTTCTAGGAGAAGTGTCTTTAGCTGAGTTTGTAGTTAATGATTTTTTTGCATGTTTTTACAGTGGGTTAATATTGATGTGCAGGCAATTACTGCAACTCTGCTAACCTGAGATGAGTTGCTAAGCCACAATAATTTATTCATGCACCTGTGCCTTAATAGTATGTTTATTCTGTGCTGGCAGTGCTGGAAAGGAGCTCTTGTAGTAGCTGCAGATTTCATTTATACCCAACATCAAGGAGAGATAAATATAAAATAGGTCAGAATTTTGTTTACCACTACCGAGATACACGTCCTAACCTCATCAGCATCTGCAGAGGCAGAGAATGGGCATAATGTGCTATAACAAGGGCTGTGCTGAAGCACACATGGAGTTTGGAAACCTCAGGTCTTTGAAGGGGGTGACCCTGAAAAGGAGGGATGGGCAGGTCACCTGTTATGAGAAATTACTCCCCCAGTGTCCAGGGGTATGGCCATCCATAAGGCCGAAGAAGGACACTGCATTCATTTCACAGAGCTAGGAATGAATTGTTAGGTTTTCTATGCCCTTTGGAATGCCGCCTTACTTCTTCCGTCTGCCTCCTGTGGTTCTGCCCTTGGCCTGGTCCCATCAGTCATAGGAGACACACACAGCACAGTGTTCTAGCTACAAGCTCATGAGCATAACTGTGAGCACAACATTTATTTACAAACCAGTATATAGTTTTATGCCTATCTCTTGTTATATGAATCTCTTGTTATAGATATAACTCTTCTTCCCTGAGGGAAAGACTCAGGGAGTCTTAAAAGTCTCATGGCCTTATTCTATCCTCCTACTGCTGTGACTAGCAGGCACAACTGCAGATTAGCACTGATCTGCTAAAGTGATGGCAGAACCCAGCTCTTTGCCTAGTCTGACTATGGCGGCATGAAAAGGTGGGAGCAAGAAAAAGAGGGACTGATGTCATTTCTAAGTCTGTTATCAAAATACGTTCCACCTACTAGAGTTGTCCAAGGAGAGAGTGGAGAAGCTTGAAATACACTTTTGCAGGCTGTTTGCCTTCCCTGAAAGGGACTTGCATCTGTTCTTGGACATGGCTAGGCTGACCCCCTTCTTGACTCAGAGGTAAAAAAAAATAGAAGGTGCTCTCTCCCACATATTTATGTTGATTTTTGGTAATGCCAGCCCCTGCCCACAGCACAACACACAGTTCTGCCTGACGTGGGGAACAGAGTGCTTACCAGGGCTGGGCTGTCATAGTGGGTGTTGACAGATGAGCTGTGGCGAATCTCATACCCAGCTGACTGCTCTGCTCGTCTCTTGGAAAGTCTCACTCTCTCCTCGCAGAGAACCCTCTCCCTCACAAGGAATGTATGCCAGCAGCTTCAGTGAAGACTCCAGCAGTGTAGGCGAATCTCTCAATAGTATTTTTCCTATGAGACTCTTGGGGAGACGGGAATTGTTGCTTCTAAATGAAAAGGTCACATGGAAATGAATTCTTGATATTAAATCTTGTGAAAGCCTCTTGCTCAGCAGACAAGAAGTTGATATGGCAACAGTATTTTTGCAATGGTACAAACATTCATGCCAGGACCTTGGAGTGCCTGTCACGTGGCTCTTGACCCTTTTCAGTAATGCAGATCTGGTGCTCATGTCACACATGTCACCTGTGTCAGATACAGTGATGGAGAGTGGGGTGACACTGGGGGCTAATAAAATAGACTGGGATAGAGTTGCCAGGGATCTGCAGATGCTTCCAGAAAGACTTACCTGAGAGGGATATGAGAAGGAGAAGAGCTGAATGAGCAGCAGCATTCCCCATGTTCCCGTGGGCCTCAGTCAGACGACATGGCAATTAGAGCGAACCTTGCAGTCTCCCTGTATTGACTTTGCTGGAGAAGGCCGGGGATTGAAGGCTGTGCAAAGTCCTCTGTTAGTCTGGAAATGCCTGAGCCAGAGGTGACTGTCAAAAGTGATGTCTTAGCTAAACCACACTAATTGAGGACCAAAGCAGGCTAGGGGAAGCCACTAAGGCAAGGCACTGGGCTGCAGATAACCCCCAAAGGCAAGACTTCTTGGGCAAGCTGTCAGTTGCAAGGACTGTGGTGGCTGCCTGTTAGAGACATAGTCCGGGGAGTAATGGAAGATGCTGGAATGGAGAAATACAGAAGTGCTGCATCATGTTTTGGTGCTTGGAGGTCTGTGCTTATGATGAGGAGGGGAAGGAAACTCTACCTGTGGATGTTAGGGATTATTCTGTGGTGTGTGATTGAGATTGCTCCAAACTATGGGGTGGAGAGGAGAGGAAGGAGGGTCATCTCAAAATTGCTAAACATCTGAGGGAAGATGCCTAGTGGGGCTGTAAAGGAAAATGCAGGTGGCTATTCTATGGTATGACCCCCAGCTGGGGGAACGTTACTGCACAGCTTTGCAAACAGAGGCTCCACAGGAGGACTGCAGAGGCATAAGTGCTCTGCAAGCTCTTACTTTAAGCTAAGGAGCAGGCCTCCCCAAATGTACCTAACATGTATAGAACTTTCTGCCATTGCAGAGTCATCTTAGATCAAGATACTTAAAATAAACACATAAATCTAGCTTCCAAAACCCCTATTTAGTCAACAAAATAAAGATGAGCTTGTAAAGATGACTTTGGGTTGGCTCAACTTTTCTGCAAATTAAGCCACTTGTTTAAGTGATTAACTGTGACTTTCAAGACATCTTGAAGAAACACTTCTGAAAATCACTGCCAGAAAGAATGGCTGTGAATCCTGCCTCATACACACAAATAGCCTTTTGAAATCAGAATGCGGTTTTCCTTCTCCACAACTCTCTAGAACCAACATGCTGTTTGCCGTGCTGGAAGCCAGTTAGATAAATAAAAAATATTATTACAAATTCGTAGTGAGTATGTGCCTGAATTACCAGAGACAGAATCCCCTTCTTGCCTCTACTGGCTACAGATAAGGAAAGATTACTTATGTCTGTGGGTACCTCATAAGTACCTACATCCAGGCACCCACACAGAAAAACAGACAATGCTTTCAGAAAGGGTGACTTCAAATTAATGACTAAAAAATACTAAAGCAGCTGTTTTTAGTAGAATAACGGGAGGAAAGAAGAAGCTGTTTGAATGTATCTAGAGATGGGGGGCAGGGGAGGGAAAGTAGATTTGCAGATTGGTCTTCTCCATCTCAGTAAAAGCAATTTTCTGCTTTCATTGAACTGATCATATCAGGGGATTATTTTTAGACAAATAAATGATGTGATTTAAACATAAAAATACTGACTATAGCTATATAGAAAATGGCTCATTATAGAACATACAGGCATTTATTCTGCAGTAACTCTACACACCTCTCTGCTTTTAGTAGAATCAACTTAAAATTCAAGCCTCTCAGAGAACGTGCTCCTGAGGAACGAGTCCTCCTTGCTAAAACCCAGGGGGGTTGTAAACACACAGTTGTAAATACACTGGCAAAGATCATCGTCCTTGCCTTTGCAAACAGAGCTATTCATTTAGCCATGGCACTCTTCATCTGAGTACCTACAAACCCACATACCTGCTCCAAAGTGTAATCCCAGAAGTGCTTGTCTCTTCCTCTGCTTGTAATCCCCTGTGAAGGCACCGCTGGGAAGGTGCCAGTCATACTGGAAACCATGAAGTACGTTCATGTCTGTAGCTGTCTCAGCCCGGATTTGTAAACCTCGTTGAGGGGCAGGGTATGCTGCACTTCTCCCCTGATGGAGGAAAAAATGACGTTTTGCAGGGCTGGCTGCTGCCACCCGTCTCTTCCCGAGGCGCTGCTAACCTGTCACGCGGGATCATGTGGCTTTTCCTGCGCGGGGTCTGGCAGCCCCCAGCCCTCCCCGTCTCCCGCCCTCGGAGCCGCCGGGCGGGCAGCCCTGGCAGGGCGGAG